GGGGGGGGGCGGCGCTTAGCTTGAGGCATTTAATGGGCAGAGAAGAGCAGTGTGGCTGGAGCAGGTGAGGGAGGGGAAGAAGGGGCAGAGCCCTACCATGCAGGGCCGGAAGTGGTAGGCTATGTTCAGGACTCTAGTGGGCCACTGAAGGTTTTTTAAATACAGCAGTGACACGATCTGGTTTACATGTTTAAAATATGCCTTGGAAAGTGGGTTGCCAGAGGGTGCTAATCGGTAGAATATCTCTGGAAGGAAACCAGACAATGGTAAGAGCAGTCCCCTTTGAAGGCAACAGGGATAAAAGGAGACGCTCTGTTTACAACCTATCCCTTTGTACCTTCTGAATTTTACACTGTGTACATGCATTCCTCACTCATTGAATAAACAAGTAGCTTTTACAGAGTGGCGGAGGCTTGGGAGAACTGTCAGGCAGTCTACAGTTGTCCAGGGAAGAGGCAACAGTGGTGACATGGACTAAGGTGGTGGAGGTGGAGGGGGAAGTGGACCACGTCAGGAGACATGATGACAAAGAATCTCGAGGAAGGACTGAACATGGGGGTGAGGGAGTGGGAAGCAGCAAGGATGACTCCTGGAATCGACTAATAGGATGGATGGATGAAGTGAGGTGGGAAAGACTGGATGAACAGGTTTAGGGGGGAAGATGCAGGTTAGGGAGGAGGGAATGAGCTAGCTATTGGGTGGAGAGAGGGCAGAGCCTGGGGATACATTTGGTAGTGTCACCCCACAGGGGGTGTGGGAGCTCCAGGACTAGGGGACACTGCTGAGAAGGAGATGTGAGAGAAGTATCTCAGGGTGGTGGGAGCCCTGGGGGCCCCCGAACTGGGGGGTGCGGAGGGCTGCAGGCCATGCAGAAGCTGGCAAAATGTGTCAGGTAGTCCTGACAGTGAGAGAGAAGACTGAAGAGGGGTCAATGCCGCTGGGAAGCCCAAGGACAGTGGGTTCCAGGGAGTAGTCTGTGTTCCGGGCAGTGAGCAGGCCCACTGGGAACTCAGAACTGTGTCGGGTGGGTGGGGGCAAGAGCCGAACTACAACTCTGGATTAACGGAAAAGGCCTCTAAGCAGGCTGGGGGCTCACAGCCCTCCCCCACCTTCCCCCCAGACGGAGTGCTTCAACCATGTGCGATTCCTTCAGCGACTCAATGCCACCCACTTCTATGCATGCGGGACTCACGCCTTCCAGCCTCTCTGTGCAGCCATTGTGAGTAGGCCTGCCCCAGCCCAGCCCTTATTGCTGCTCCCTGGCCCTGGACCAGTCTGAGCTTGGGCCATGACCCCTGCCTGTCCTCGAGACCACTGACTTCTGGCCTCGTAATCCTCCAGGATGCTGAGGCCTTCACCTTGCCAACAAGCTTTGAGGAGGGGAAGGAGAAGTGTCCTTATGACCCAGCCCGTGGCTTCACAGGCCTCATCATCGGTGAGCGTGCACTCCTCCCCACCCTGGCCCCTTATCCATCAGCGTGCTCTTTGGGGGACACGGACCTCGTTGCTAGGACTTGCCACTGATATGTGTTATGTGCCTTATTGTATGTGACGTGTCTGTCACGCGTGGCATGCCTGTGCTCCAGATGGAGGCCTCTATACAGCCACACGGTATGAATTCCGGAGCATCCCTGACATCCGCCGAAGCCGCCACCCGCACTCCTTGAGGACTGAGGAGGCTCCGATGCACTGGCTCAATGGTTAGGAGGATGAGGCACAGGATGTTGGGGGGCAGGGGACTATTCATCTTTACTCCCTTGGGCAGTTGACATCCCATCCCCAAATTCCCAGGTGAGCCTGTCTATTCCTGAGTGTGGTTGAGTGAGGGGTAGTGGAGGGGATCTCCATCCTGTCTCAGGGGCCACTTGAACTGCCCAACCTGCAGATGCTGAGTTTGTGTTCTCCGTCCTGGTACGGGAGAGCGAAGCCAGTACAGTGGGAGATGACGACAAGGTTTACTACTTCTTCACGGAGCGGGCCACTGACGAGGGCCCCAGCAGCTTCACTCAGAGCCGCAACAGCCACCGTGTGGCCCGTGTGGCCCGTGTGTGCAAGGTGAGTGGCACCACGTTTGGCCCAAGAGTGTACAAGCGGAACCTCTGGCGCTGACCCTGTGCCCTACCTCCCCAGGGAGACCTAGGAGGAAAGAAGATCTTGCAGAAGAAGTGGACCTCCTTCTTAAAGGCGCGTCTAGTCTGCCACATTCCACAGTATGAGATGCTACGTGGTGTCTGCAGCCTGGACACGGACACCTCAGCACGCACACACTTCTATGCGGCCTTCACGCTGACCACACAGTGGTCAGTGCAGGGACAGTGGGGACACAAGGAACTGGGGACAGCCTGAGGCCTGGAGCAGAGGTCAACGAGGAGAAATAGGATCCCTTGTGGGGAGGCTGGCTGCAGAGAGAGAATTCCAGGCACATCCAGCTAGCCTGGAGCCAGAGGCCACAGTGGCCTCCTGACCCTTAGGAGAGGCCCTGAGGCCAAGAGCTGGGGTTGGCCAGGGTTAACAGTGAGCTCCAGGCTGGGGCAGGTGGCAGGGGGGCAGGCTCCACCCAGTGTGGCTCAGGCCCCTCCCCTATGTCCCTTCCTAGGAAGACCCTAGAGGCCTCAGCCATCTGCCGCTACGACCTGGCCGAGGTGCAGGCTGTCTTCGCAGGTCCCTACATGGAATACCAGGACGGTGCCCGGCGCTGGGGCCGCTATGAGGGTGGGGTGCCGGAGCCCCGGCCCGGCTCAGTGAGTGCCCAGGCCTGGGGTCAGTGCTGAGTAGACAGAACCCCCGGGAGGGGCAGGAGGGCCTAGCCTTTGGGGGGGGGGGAGGGGGAGGGCACGCAAGCAGTAGATTCCTGAGGTTCACTGCCTCTGCCCCCCATCCCAGTGCATCACAGATTCATTGCGCACTCGCGGCTACAACTCATCCCAGGATTTGCCATCCCTCGTCTTGGACTTCGTGAAGTTGCACCCACTGATGGCTCGGCCCGTGGTGCCCACACGAGGACGGCCCCTGCTGCTCAAGCGCAGTGTGCGCTATACACACCTCACAGGGACGCCTGTCACCACGCCTGCCGGACCCACCTATGACCTGCTCTTTCTGGGCACAGGTACTTTTGACCCCTGGCTGGGCCCTTTGGTAACTGCTGACCTGGGTCCTTGATCCTCGTTGACCGCTCATCCCCTGAATGACTTTTGATTACAAAACCCTGGTGACCAATGATGTTGATTCTTCAATGAACACTCACTACTGACCCCCAGTGACCACTGGCTCTTGGTACCTGCAGATTCCTGTCACCAGCCACAGTGATATTTGACCCTGATCACTAATGTTTCTGGACCCAACAATTCCTGCCATGACAAGCCCAGAGTTCCCAGCCAGGGAACTGTTCCCAGTCCTGAGTAACTATTACCGGCTGAATCCTTGTCCCTGACGTCCTGGCTCCCAAGCTACTCCCATTAGGCTATTGCAGGGGGCTGAAAACAGATTCCATTTCTGGGTTCTGACCCTCTGCCCTTTCCATACCAGCTGATGGCTGGATCCACAAGGCCGTGGTGCTGGGTTCTGGGATGCACATTATCGAAGAGACACAAGTGTTCAAGGAGCCCCAGTCTGTGGAAAATCTGGTCATCTCTCCAATGCAGGTAGCCTCTGACCCACTACTTGCCAGAATAGGGGGAGGGAGTGGGTGGCTGGGCAGTGGCCGTGTGTGTCTGTAGGTGGGAGCTGGGGGTGTTGCCAACCAGCTTTCCTCTCCGGCTCCCAGCACAGCCTTTACGTGGGGGCCCCTAGTGGTGTCATCCAGCTACCACTGTCGAGCTGTTCCCGCTACCGCTCCTGCTATGACTGCATCCTGGCCCGGGACCCCTACTGTGGCTGGGACCCCAGCACCCATGCCTGCATCATAACCAACAGGTCCCAGGGTAGCAGGTAAGAGGTGGTAGGGGTGTGAGGGTCCCGTGTGAACAGGGGATCAGGGCCTGAGGGGAGGAGGCGGGCCTGCTAGCTGGAGGGGGAGTGGGGGGCGGTTGTTGGCAACAGCATCATTGACTTCCACTGGGGAAACTAAAGCTCAGTTCCCCTGTTCGTGAGTTTAGGACAGCACTGATACAGGACATAGAGAGAGGAAACCGAGGCTGTGAAGGCAACAAGGACACAGGTAAGTGACAGGCATGGACGTGTGTAGGCCCGGCTGCATAGCCTGTCCTCTACGCTTACTGTCATTTGCCTGTGCGTGTACGTATCTGAATGGTTGTGTCTGTGTGCTTTCAGCGAGGATGTTCCAGCACAGTGTGGCACAGAGTAAGTGCTCCACAGACATCTATTGCCCTAAAGGATTATAAATGAGGAGAAAGGCTCATGACATAAAAGTTCTTTTTGTCACACCTGAGCTTATAGCCAAGTGTGTGCTGGCGGGGGCGGGAGGAGGGGCAATTAAATGATCACACAAGTAATTCTTTCCATTGGTTTTTGCTACAAAAGGAATACTTACAACTATAACAAGGATGTGAAGGACAATGAATACTCCCCTGAGGAAGATCAGATGACTGAGCTGATACCTAAAGGAGGAGCGGAAGTTAATAGTCATACTAACATGTACTGAGTACTTACTCTGTGCCAGGCGCTGACCAAACACGTACACACACGATCTCTCTTATGCTCACAGCATTCCCAAGAGAGAGGTGCCACGATCCCCATCCCTATGAGGGGCAATCTCTCTGAGGTACAGGGAGAGTAAGTACACTGCCCAAAGTTAATAAGCTATTAAGTAGTGGGGTCAGAATTCAAACCTGACCCCGAACAGTCTGACTGGAGTTTGTGCTTTTCATTACTTCTGTGCTCTTTCCCCCTGGCCAACCAGCGGAGGGCACGGAGAGGGGGGTGACATCCAAGCAGAGGGGACAGCAGGCCGATGAGCTTGGGGTGTTTGCCAAGAGGCTGGAGAAGTGGGCAGGGACCATGTTGAGGCAGGGAAGTGGCACAATCAGTGTGGTGTTTTTAAAAGGTTACCCCACTCCTGCATGGAGAATAAATTACATGGGGGCCAGAGTGGGCCAGCAGCTGGGGAAGGAGAGAAGTGAACAGGGCTGAGATGGATTCTGGAAGCAGAATCCTGGTGAGAATTAGACACGAAGGTGAAGGAGAGAGAGAGGCAAGGGGACTCCCCGGTTTCTGACTTAAGCAGCTGAGTAGCTACTGGTGCTATTCACTGTGACAATTCAAGGAAAAGACCTGGTGTAGTTTGGGACGGAGGCTTTGGCCTTAGTTCCTGTGCCATGTTCAAGAGACCTCCTGTGGAGATGCCCTGTGTGTGGAAGATGTTCAGGTCTGTCGATCAGGGGAGAACTCTGTGCTAGAGACTGAGCTTACAAATCATTGGCAGATAGCACGCACTGAAAATCACTGAGATGGGCCAGTGCAAACCTTAAACGGGAACACAAACGCAGGAGACCTCATTCAGTTGTCACCATGATTCCAGATTTGCGCTTGGTGCTAGGGACGTAACAGTGAACCACCTGACCTGCCATCTCCAACGCCCTCCCTCAGATAGACAACACTGACCACTCCTCTCACCGCCCCCCCTCCCCACCTCCAGGGCCACCACCACCACTGAGAACCCGCTCTGTCCTCCGAGGTGACGATGTTCTCCTGCCCTGTGACCAGCCATCCAACCTGGCCCGGGCCTTGTGGCTGCTCAATGGGAGCATGGGCCTGAATGACGGACAGCATGGCTACCGCGTGGGCGTGGATGGGCTGCTGGTGACAAACATACAGCCTGAGCACAGTGGCAACTATGGCTGCTATGCTGAGGAGAATGGCCTCCGCACCCTGCTGGCCTCCTACAGCCTCACAGTCCGGCCAGCCACTCCTGCCCCAGCTCCACAAGCCCCTGCCATGCCCGGGGCACAGCTGGCACCTGACGTGAGGCTACTGTATGTGCTAGCCATCGCTGCGCTTGGCGGCCTCTGCCTCATCCTGGCTTCCTCCCTCCTCTATGTGGCCTGTCTTCAGGGAGGCAGACGAGGGCGTCGAAGGAAATACTCTCTGGGTCGGGCTGGCCGGGCAGGGGGCTCTGCTGTGCAGCTGCAGACAGTTTCAGGCCAATGTCCTGGAGAGGAAGACGAGGGTGATGATGGGGAGGGGGCTGGGGGCCTGGAAGGTGGCTGCCTCCAGATCATCCCTGGGGAGGGAGCCCCAGCCCCACCGCCTCCGCCACCCCCACCACCACCGGCTGAGCTGACCAACGGGCTGGTGGCACTACCCAGCCGGCTGCGCAGGATGAACGGCAACAGCTACGTGCTCCTGAGGCAGAGCAACAACGGAGTGCCAGCAGGGCCCTGCTCATTTGCTGAGGAGCTCAGCCGCATCCTGGAGAAGAGGAAACACACACAGCTTGTAGAGCACCTGGACGAGAGCTCTGTCTGAGCCCAGCCTCCTAGGACAAATGCTCTTCCAAGCCAGCCTGTCTGCCCCAGGCTGGGCTGCTGCTTCCCCAACACAGCCACTCTACCTTCACCTCCCTCCCCCCAACCCCAGGCCCTTCTCCCAACTTTGTGATGTCCCTGTAGGGCTGGCAGAGTCAGGCCCAGCCAAAGTCCCCTCCTCAGTCTCCACAGACCCATCTGTGAGCAGCCCAGGCCCACCGGTGCTCCTCAGAGGTGGGTACTCCCCCAGGACGTGGAATTCTGTAGACCCAGCCCCAGTTCCTATTCCCTTACCCCAAGCACTTGGGAGGAGAGGATGCCATCTTCCTGCCCCATTTGTCTGTTCAAATCCTTCCTCTTTCTCCCAGGCAGGGCTCTGCAGGTCCAGATGACCTCAAGGTCACCACCCTCTGCGTGGCCCTATGTGCTGGATGGTCCCGAAACCAGACAAGACCTCTACCAGCCACCAGAGCCACCTGAGCCCTGCATGCATTCATGTGTGCACACGGATGAATGTCTATCAGCTGGGCTGCAGGGCCCCCACCCCCATCTCCTGGAACATTGTGTTTCATCTCTCCTGGACTTTGGGTACCCTTCCAACGGCCATATCCCATCCTATCTAGGTTTCTCCCCTAGTCCCAGCCCCATGTGGTGACCTCTTTGGCAAAAGCTTGGGAACAGGCCAGTCTGGGGAGGTAAGACTGTGTCATTCCCCTCTTCTTCCTTAACGTGCAGCCCTCTTTGGTCAACCTCCTCACCCCCTTGGTCACTCTCAAGAGTGACAGACAGAGCCCCAGGCATGTCCCTTCACACACACGTGCTTACATTTCCACTTGCATTTCTGAGCCTCCCTTTGCTGCCTCGGACCTGTATCTGTTGGGTTTGGTCCATGGACATTTCAGAGGGAGAGCCCTCTCCCATTCAGCTGTCCTCTCAGACATTTCCCTAGGACGGGTGACCAACACTGCAATGAGCCAGCCTCCCTTTTGGGGACCAAGCATTTGCTACCCCCAGACCAGAGCAGGGGGAGGAGATCTGATGTCTCACCTGGCACATGAAGCCCGTTCTTGGAACTATGCAAAGGGCAGAGGCTGGGAGTTTGGATGCTTGGCTCCCATCCCTGTCCTACCTCACCGGGGCACTTTCAGGGTCCAGGGGCCTCTGAAGTCTCCAGGCCCATATGGGACAATCAAATCCTGACTGAGCTCCCCCATTCCCCTTGGGTGAGGATGACTGTTATTTTTGTAGCTGAGAACGTGGAATCCCACGGGTTTTTACTGCCCTTCACCCAACTTCTCCCACCTCCACCCCACAATGAATGTATTTATTGTGAGAACGGCTACACTTCTTTAGGAATGCCCCCACTCACCACCAAGGTGGGCAGAACAGGCATGTGACAGAGTGGGGAGCCTGGGCTCAGCTCCTCCCCCTCCTGTTGGTTAATAAATACCCTCTTTCCCCACAGCCATGTGTGGTCCGCTTGGTCTAGACTGGCCTTCCCCTGGTCACCAGGGGGCAGGCTTCTGATTCTATGGAAATGGTGCTGCAGGGTTGGCTCTGCTCCCCATAAAACCATTTGCAGAGGAAACTGGGATCCTCAGGTTCCATCTGACTGCCCTGGGTGGATACACAGGCCTTTATAACGTTCTCACTACTCACTGATCATGGTGGTATGGGCATGACAAACAAAATTACAACACTTCAAGAATTCATACAAAGGTTTCTAGGTTTTTACCTCCTAGCTCTTTTCCTCACTATTCCTCCCCCTTGTTTTGCCTAAGCCTAGAAGATGCTCTGTTTATCAGCTCTCATGCTCATCCCCAAAAGCTTTTCAGTCCCGTCCCTCCCCCCAACAAGGGACAACATGAATTCATTTCTGCAGAGGGGCCTGTCTTGGGGAGTAGTTAGTAGTTAGGACCAGGGCAAGCTTGTTACCAGGGATCTGGCCTAAGAATCAGCCTCCAAGGGTTAGGACTGGATAATCACATGGCCTCTAACACTAACCATCCTGAAGGGTTGTATGTTCCCCTTCTGGTTTTAGGATAATGAAAAATGGGGTTAGACTTAAAATATACACATATTTTGAAGATCTCAAGTGTAACTTTGGGCAATTTTATTAACCTCAGTTTTCTAATCTAAACATTTACACGGATGTAAAGTGACTGTCCTAATGCCAGGTTCACAGCAGAGTCTAAGGTGCTAGCTCTCTCTAGTTCAATGGTTGCAGAAATAGGACATGGATGGGAGGGGCACCTGGGTGGCTCAGCCAATTAAGCATTCACTTTGGCTCAGGTTATGATCTCAGTTTGTGGGTTTGAGCCCCATATTGGGCTCTGTGTTGACAGCTTAGATCCTGAAGCCTGCCTTGGATTCTGTGTCTCCCTCTCTCTCTACCCCT